ACACACGGTAGCCCATGGCAACCCACTGCCACAGGGGCTGCATCCTACGCCATCGCCGGCAACTCACGGGCAGCCCAGCTCCAGGCTGAGCTGTTGTTCAGCATCTTAACTGTGGAGGGCAGTGTCACTGACCCTCATATGTGGGATCCGAACCAGTGCCCTCTGGCGTCCCAAGCCAGTTCTTAACCATTGCGCCACTCGGCCGGCCCAGGACCTTACTTTATACAATTAGTATGTTCTAGAAAAGTTGTGAGTTAATCATAATTTTTTAATTGATTTAAGTGGTATCCTGTAGCTACAGTGATTATAGTAAGCATTCCATATTTTTCTAGGACAGTCCCACTTAAGACATTCTGTCCCATGGTCAGATCAGGTGTTCCTCATGAGTTTCAGTAAATATAGTCATAATCCCTGTGATGAATCCTTTGTAGTTAAACTTACTTTAATATGATTATTTTATGTTGAGATATAACTGGCATATAACATTATATTAGTTTTAGGTGTACAACATAATAATTATATATATATATATATATATATGTATTGTGAAATTATTACCACCATAAGTTTAGTTTACATCCATTACCACCACCATAGTCAAAAATATTTTCCGTTTTTTTACTGATTTTTTTTGTTTATGATGAGAACTTTTAAGATCTACTCTCTTAGCAACTTTCAAAATACAATACAGTTATAGCCACCATGCTGTACATTAAATCTCCATGGCTTATTTATTTTGTTACTGGAAGTTTATACCCTTTGACCACTTCCACCATTTTTCCCTATTCCCCATTCTCTGACTCTGACAACCACCCGCCTGTTTTCTATTTCTATGAGTTTAGCTTTTTTGTTTGTTTGTTTTTAGATTCCATTTATGAGTGAGATCTCACAGTATTTGTATTTGTCTGACTTATTTCAGTTAGTAGAGGTCTTCAAGGTCCATACATGTTGTCATAAATGGCAGACTTCCTTTATATATATATATATATATATATATATATATATATATATATATATATCACATTTTCTTTATTCATTCATCCATTGATGGACACTTAGGTTGTTTCCATGTCTTGGCTATTGTAAATAATGCTGTAGTGAATATGGGTGTGCAGATGTCTTTTCTAGATAGTGATTTCATTATGTCAGATAAATACCAAGAAGTGAAATTGCTGGTTCGTATGGTGATTCTATTTTTAATTTTTTGAGGAACCTCCATACTGTTTTCCTTAGTTGCTGTACCAATTTACATTCCTACCAACAGTGCACAAGGGTTCCCTTTTCTCCCATCCTCCCCAACACATGTATTTCTTGTCCTTTTGATAATAGCCATTCTAACAGGTATCAGGTGATTTCTCACTGTGGTTTTGGTTTGCATTTCCCTGATGATTCAAATTTTTTTATGTACTAAACCCATCCACTACATTTAGGTGAGCTTATACAAATTTATATTTTCATGAAACTGTCTATTCACTGCATTGTCATTCTTAGTAATAGGTAGAGATTTTTATTTGTTCAGTATTTTCGGGGGGTACTTACAACGTGTCAGGCACTGTGTTAGGCACAAAAAATGGACAAGGATAAAAGTATGTAAAGGCTACTATAGAGTAGTTTAGGTCTTCCCAGAAGTTGTGCAAAAGAGAAGGAAGACAAACTCAGCTTTGGATTATCCGTTGATAACTCATGGTATGTATAATGTAAAGTTCTCATCTCAGAACCTGCTGAGAAGAATTGTGAAGGCTCATAAGTAAAACTGTCCCAAAAACTTTTCTAAAAATTGAATTTAAATAAATGGTTACAACTTTCAAATTACTTTTGCTTAGCACTAGTCATTATGGAACCTTGCTCTATATCAATCAGACAAATGCCCACTTTCAAAAATGATGTACAGGGCTGGCCGAGAGCGCAAGCTCTGAGCAATAGGGTTGCCAGTTCGATTCCCACATGAGCTGCACCTGAGCTGAGCTGCTACTGAGCCGCCAACAGGTGGCAGGATGCCTCAGCTGGTGAGAGCATGTGCTCCTAACAACAAGGTTTCCAGTTTGACTCCCGCATGGGATGGTGGGCTATGCCCAACCACAACTAAGAATGAACACGGAACCTTGAGCTGAGCAGCTGTGAGCTGCTGATGGACAGCCGGATGGTGACTGGACTTGGAGCTGAGCTAGCTGCGCCCTCCACAGCTAAGATTGAAGGACAACAACTTGGCTGTTCTCCTTCCCCAATTCCCCAACACTGTTTCCCTTCCCCAATTCCCCAATAAAATATTTTTTAAAAATGATGTACAATATTTTTTACTATGAGACAAAATTGTCTAGAGATTAAAATGCTGATGTTAATTTATTCTATGTTTTATGAACATTTCCTTTGGGACCTTTTTTTTTTTTTACATGCTCACACATTGGTAAGTAGAAGCTGACAAAATAGAAAATTAAATAGCTCCTTTGGCATGGTTTGGAAAAGACTACATTGAGATCACTTATAATTTAATGCAGTTAGCTGAAAAAAACCACCACTATGTTGGATTTATGTAATGCTAGGATGGGCGGACACAAAGATTGTTTTCATAAAAGAACATATGCCCCTGTTATAGTCATACTAGATGATTTGCTCCTGAAAGAACAATAACATGAATAAAAGTCAGATAAGTAAGTTGATAGTGGTAAAGATGACAATGTATTCACTCCCAATTGTAGTACTTGGACATACTGTATATAGAGAAAACTCTCTTTAAAACATTTGTTCCATTTTATAAAAATAACATAATTCTATATTTCACCAGTATTTGTAACCCCTGCAAAGCAGGAGCCAGCTTATTTTAATCAAATGTTCATTCATTTACTGAAAAGGCATCTATCATGTGAAACTGCACATAATCTAATCCCTTGTTTTAAGTGACTGGCCTCATCCCTAGTAGAGTATACCTGTATATTCAAGGAATAGAAAGTAAGTGTTCTTGCCTGAAAGAGCTAGCATCATAAAGTATTGCCTGTAAATTTTCAGCGTTATCAGATTTAAAACTCAGTAACAATTGTAATTTTTTACAATAAAAAACCAGCTTTGATTTTTGCTTTCTCCAGGAAACAAAAACTGATTTATTACTGGCCAGAGGTCCTAGTTCACCAGAAACGTGGTCCAGACAGAATGATTAATGTTTCCCTCCAAATTAATTTTGAGCTGTCTAACTTAGCTATTTCAATTTTCCCCTAAGTAAACACCAGATCTGAATGTTATATTACACCCAGTCTTGCTTTAAGATATGCTGTTTCCTCTCCAATCTACATATGCCATCTTTTAACTTCGCACTTATTTCTTTCTCTATAAAGTACCTGGCTTTTTAGTAGTCACTCACTCAATATAAAAGAGAGTATTGAGAGCAAGAGAGAGATTCCCTTGAGCTTATGATCTTAATAATCTTAACATGTGCTCACATGAGAGGAGAGAATGAATCAAAGTGAGACTTGCCCAGAAAGATCTCTTGATTCAAATAATTAAGAGGGTGGCTTCTTAGAGCAAGAAGTGGTGATAAATGAAAATGATAAGGAACAAGGCAAGTTTTGAGGGTATCATTTTTCATGATATCTTGTTTTCTATACATCCATTTCAGTATACATCTGCACTGACGCACGACGCAATACTGGTCATAGCAGAAGCTTTCCGCTATCTGAGAAGGCAGCGAGTGGATGTGTCCCGGAGAGGCAGTGCTGGAGACTGCTTAGCAAATCCTGCTGTGCCTTGGAGTCAAGGAATTGATATTGAGAGAGCTCTAAAAATGGTAACAACCACAATGGATTATTGTGTGGGGAGGTGGGGGAGCTTATAAAGACATACAAAAAATGAGACCTCAATCTCGAGAAGACATAATAAAAGGAATAGAGTCATAAGGGGGAAGGAGAGTTATCACGTTGTGAGGGGTGTAAATATCTAACTATTATATTGCTTTGTACACCTGAAACTAAAAAAAAAAAGATCTATGTTTCTAGCAACAACAACAACAAACAAAAATGAATAGGATCAGACTCAGTAGAAGGTCAGAATGTGCAGAAATACAAAGAAGGATACTTATTTACCAAAAATCTAGAAACCTAAAACTAGAAGGGACAGGGATATTTTATAGAAAGCTCCTAACTTCAAGGTAGACATTATAAAGGACAGCAAAATCCTCTGTCACATCAGACAAATTATTAGCCTGGGTGGATGTTGGACCTGAGTCAGTTTGACACTATTTTTATTGTCAAAGAAGAACCTTTATATTATACTATTCTACATGGTGAAATGCAGAAACATGATTCATTTCTAGGCCTACTTAAGAGGCTTTCCCTAGTGCCCCAAAGAAAAAAAGCTTAAAGTACAAGGACTCAGTGGGTAGACAGTCAAATATGTCACTTGTTTTTAGTATTTACAGGGTAGGAGATTATTTAAGGCTTCAAGCAGTGTCTTTTGAACAGGTTCCATTATTTACACTAGGAGTAGCATCACTCATTCATTGCAGTTTTGCAAGCAAGAGCTCTTTCCTGAATATTTTGCTTTATGCTATATGTGCCTGTATGCATTAAAATGAGACTTAAAGAGTACAAGACTCTCTTATTTCTACTTATTTAATTATCCTGATGTTTGGGACATCCAAATTAATAAAGAGATAAGCCATGATAATTCTGTGCACAACCCAGCAATGAAGAATTTGTAATAAACTCATAACATACATCATTTTGTGTAGTTGACTCTTACTGCTGCTTTAAATTTGCCAAGTCAGAAGCATTCAATCAAAAGGGGTTAGTAGCCCCAGTGTCTGTCTCCAAGAAAGAGATATGACTCATTCTCCCATCATGCAGATTTTTATGTCATATGTCAGTTCCTTAATGAATGTCCTAAGTGTAGTTTTATGGAGGTAACACTGCACAATTTTGGAGAGTAGTTAATTAAATTCAACCTACACAGCAGTTACAAGGTTTGTATTGTCAGGTGAAACATAGTGATGAGTGAAATATAAAACTCCCCCAGAGTGAATCAAAAGGAGTTTAATCAACAAAACCTCAAGGGACATGTTCCAACATCTCCAATTGTCTCCCCATTCATGAGACAAACAACTATCTTCCCCAAATAGAGAACTGGCTACTAAAGAAAAGGACAATAAATTAATTTGACTAGAAAAAATATATATCGATCATATTATTGCACAAATAGTTTCTACCTGTCTAAGTCACTGATAAAACTCAAACTATAAGCCAGGTAAATAATTTTCCCAAGTCCTAAAGATCAAACACTCAAACAAAATAATTTGTGTAGTTGACTCTCTTTAATGATCGCTTTCTACAGGCCAATCTCCTATTGCTCCAGAGGCTAGAAAGTATCAACCTTTCTCCAATAGATGTTTCTCTGTAATAAATGCTCAGTAAAAGTCCACTATTCAGAGGGACAGCAAGGGAGGATGGCTTGAAGCACTAAAGATTTTACTACTGTATATTAAAAAGAAATCCCATTTTATTTTAGTTAATTAAAAGTGAGAATGCATGATGTTAAAAGCATCCCTCATTGTGACTAGCACATAGCTGTTGCTCAATAAATCATTCTTTTGCTTCAAGCAATCTAGCAAACAAAATTATTGCCTGATAAAGGCTCCTAAGGAGCCTGTTTTAATGAATAAATAAGAGCACCATTCATTCAGTAAATATTTATTCAGCACAAACAACTATGTATTTGGCTCCAAGTTAGTAAGTAAACATGAAATAAAATGAGGGGAGCTCACATTTGAATTGTTAATATATAAACAGATGATTTTAAATACCTTACAGCCACTTGCAAATTGGGTAATCATTTTTCTCACAGTCTACAGATAGTGCAAAGATCAACCTCAGACCAGTCTACTGAAATATGTCATAATTTTAAGTCATTGAGACATGTCTACTTGTTCAGTAAACATTTATTAAGTACCTGCTCAGTCCCAGGCTCTGTATGAGTGGCTGAGAATATAGACAAAGAATGTCTTTCATCTTGAGATGCTTCCAATCAAGTAGAAGAGAAAAAAGAACTACATACATGATTAAAATGTTATGGTTAAGTTCTACAGAGGATGAGATGATAACCCAGAGGAGAAGCACCTAATATATACTGGGGTCAGGGCAGGAAGAACTAAATAAAGGATCCCAGATGGGATCATAGAAAACTGTCACTGACATTCACATCCTTAAAAGTGGACTTCTCTCTGAGTAGTAATACAATTCTAGTGGCTGGATCTTTAGAAATATACAATTTTGAGAGGGTTATTAAATACTCTTTTTTATTAAAATTTATTGGGGTGATAATTGTTAGTAAAGTTACATAGGTTTCAGGTGTACAATTCTGTAATACATCATCTACATATCACATTGTGTGTTCACCACCCAGATTCAGTTCTTCCATCACCGTATACTTGACCCCATTTACCCTCTTCTACTATTCCCCTCCTCCCTTACCCTCTGGTAACCGCTGAACTATTGTCTGTGTGTGAGTTTTTGTTTCTTTATTTGCTTGTCTTGTTCCTTTGTTGCCTTCAGTTTTATATCCCACATATCAGTGAAGTCATATGGTTCTCGACTTTTTCTGTCTGGCTTATTTCACTTAGCATGATAATCTCAAGATCCATCCATGCTGTCAAAAATGCCACTATTTTATATTTTTTATGACAGAGTAGTATTTGATTGTGAATATATACCACATCTTCCTTTTTTATTCATTTTTTATTTTTTTAATTAAAGTTTATTGGAATGAAAATTGTTAGTAAAGTTACATATGTTTTAGGTGTACAAATCTACAATACATGTATATATCACATTGTGTGTTCAACACAGAGTCAGTTCTCCTTCCATCACCATATATTTGATCCCTTTAAACCTCATCTACTACCCTCCTCCCCCCTATCCTCTGGTAACCACTAAACTATTGTCTGTGTATATGAGTTTTTGATTATTTATTTGTCTTGTTCCTTTGTTGTTTTCAGTTTTGTATTCCACATATCAGTGAAATCATATGGTTCTTGACTTTTTCTGTCTGACTTATTTTGCTTAGCATAACAATCTCAAAATCCATCCATATTGTCGCAAATGGCACTATTTCATCTTTTTTGGTAGCAGAATATTATTCCATTGTGTATATATACCACATATTCTTTATCAGATCATCTATCAATGGATATTTTGGTTGTTCCCAAGATTTGGCCACCATAAATAAAGCTGCAATGAACATTAGAGCACACATATCTTTATGGATAAATGTTTTCAGATTTTGGGGGTATATATCCAAGAGAGGGGTTACTGGGTCATATGGCAACTCTATTCTTCATTGTTTGAGGAACATTTACACTGCCTTCCATAGGGGCTGCACCAATCTACATTCTCGCCAACAGTGTGTGAGAGTTCCTTTTTCTCCATAGCCTCTCCAACACTTATTATTTGTCTTGTTGATAGCCATTCCAAACACTTATTATTTGTTTTGTTGATAGCCATTCCAGCAGGTTAGAGCTGATATCTCATTGTGGTTTTTATTTGCATTTCTCTGATGATTAATGATGTTGAGGATCTTTTCATCTGTCTATTGGCCATCTGTATGTCCTCTTTGGAGACATGTCTATTCAAGTCCTCTGCACATTTTTTAATTGGATTATTTGTTGTTGTTTTTTGTTGAGTTGTATGAGTTCTGTATATATTTTGAGTACTCACCCCTTATCAGAGGCATTATTTGTGAAAATCTCCCATTCAGTTGGTTGCCTCTTTATTTTGTTGATGTTTTCTTTTGCTGTGAAGAAGCTCTTTAGTTTGATACAGTCCGATTCATTTATTTTACCTTTTGCTTCACTTACTTTGAAGTCAAATACAAAAATTCTTCTTAGAACCCAAGGCCCATAATTGTAGTACCTATGTTTTCTTCTATGCAGTTTATTTTCTCAGGTCTTATAGTTAGGTCATTAATCCATTTTGAGTTAATTGTGGTACATGGTGACAGATAGCAGTCTAGTTTTATTCTTTTGCATGTGGCTTTTCAATTCTCCCAGCACCATTTAATAAAGAGGCTTTGTTTTCTCCACTGTATGTTTTTGGCTCCTTTGTCAAAAATTATCTGTTCATATTTATGTGGGTTTATTCCTGGGTTCTCGATTCTATACCATTGGTCTGTGTGTCTGTTTTTCTTCCAATACCATACTGTTTTGATTATTGTTGGACTGTTGTACAAGCTAAAGTCAGGGAGTGTGATACCTCCAGCATTATTTTGTTTTCTTAGGATTGTTTGGCTATTTTGGGTCTTTTGTGGTTCCATACAAATCTGATTATTTCTTTTTGTTCTATTACTTTAAAATATGCCATTGGGATTTTGATGGGTATTTCATTAAATCTGTACATTGCTTTGGGTAATATGGTTATTTTTAACTATGTTGATTCTTCCAATCCATGAACATAGAATGCCTTTCCATTTCTTTTTGTCTTCAATTTCTTTTTAAAATGTCTTATAGTTTTCAGTATATACATCTTTCACATATTTGGTTAAGTTTATTCTTAGGTATTTTATTCTTTTTGTAGCAATTGCAAAAGGAATTGTGTTTTTTTCTTTTTCTGAGATTTCATTGTTAGTATATAGGAATGCAATGGACTTTTGTACATTGATTTTGTAGCCAGCAAATTTACTGTATTTGTTTATTGTTTCTAATAGCTTTTTGGTGGAGCCTTTAGGGTTTTCTATGTATAGCATCATGTCATCTGCAAAAGGTGACAATTTAACTTTTTCATTCATTGTTCAGAAGCCTTT